GACAGGCATGGTCATAGACCAGAGGGGTGGCGTAGTCAAGGCGGCGGGTAGAGGCGAAGTCAGCGACTGCAGCGACAAGGGCGTCAAGGCTTGAAACCGGAACAGATGGGTCGGTAACGAGAGATGCAAGGACCCGAGGAACAAGAGGAGGAGCGGCACGCAGGTAGTCAGATAGAGGGGGGGCGAGCAACGACAAGGGGAGGACAGCGCCGCAGGACTACCAGAGTCAGTAGACTCCTCAACCTGTACGACCGACGTAAGTGGTTTGAGGTGGGACACACCAGAGGGGGCAGAACGGGGAGGGGGAGGAGGAGGGGTGGCGACGACAGGGGAAGGGGTGACCAGGAACAGGGGGGGGGTCACCGAGGGACCTCGTTGGGGGAAGCGACAGAAGAAGGAGACGGACTCGTCAAAGGTGACGTCACGGGAGTGAAAGAACGTGTGAGACGGCGGGTGGTAGAAGTGCCAGTCAGATGCGTCAAGGTGGAAGCTGAGGAAGACACAGGGAAGGGTGCGGGCAGTGAGCTTGTCTGTGCCAGAGGCACGAACGTGAGCAAGACAGCCCCAGACGTGGAGCGCAAACGCGTCACCAGGTGACCTAGACCAAAGGAGGGTCGGCGAAACCTGAGGCTGCTGGGGGTGCGGCCACAGGTTAAGCTGGTGAGCGGCGTAGCGAACGGCGAACGGCCACAGAAAATGGGGTGCACCGGCATGGATCATGGAGGTGTGAGCCACCTCCATGACCAAACCGATGCGTCGCTCAGCGACCCCATTCTGCTGCGGGGAGTCCGGCAAGGTGAACGTCTGAGTGATGCCCTCCGCACGACAGAAACGACCAAGGATACCAGAGGCAAACTCGCCACCACGGTCGGAGTGGAAGCGCAAGACAGGGAGACTGCGACGGACACGCGCAGCGACAAGCCACGGGATAAGAACGTCAGGCACGTCGGCCTTCTGCTCCAGGGGGAACACAGTGGTGTAGCGCGTGCATTCGTCGACAAGCACTAGGAAGTAGCGCTCTCGACGCGGCCCATGGACGGGGGCGGGGCCCCAGACGTCCATGTGCAGAGTCTGTAGCGGTGCGGCGGTAGGGGGAAAGGAGGAGTGAGGAGCACGGCGAAGCCGGCCCTCGACACAAGGCGTGCCAGGTGGGGCAGGGGAGGAGGGAAACTCAGAGAACGACCCAGGGAGGCCTAGGACGAGACCGTGCTGTGACATGTGACGCAGACTCGGGAGCGCAGGGTGACCTAGACGGTGGTGCCACAGGAGAGTCGGGTGGGTGAGTGACCGACAAGAGCAGGCAGCAGCAACCTGGGTAGACGCAGCCACCTGACGGGGGGTCCCAGCCGGGGGGGTCACAGTGTCCAGTGTGAACATTCCGGACACCGGGTCCCGGGGGAATGTGGTAAGGGGGGCACCAGAGGCGGCCTCGGTACAGACAGCGTACCGCTCTTGACCAGGGAACGTAGTGGTGACGCCAAGGTCCTGAAGGCAGCCGACACCAACTAGGTTCCTGGAGAACGAGTGGATGTGCAGGCCTGTGAGAGAGCCCGAAGGAACCGCTGGGCAGGGGAGGGTGGTGGAACTGCGGGCGACTACAGGGCCAGAGGAGGGGTCAGGCAGGGAGACGGCGGCAAGGACGGGAAACGGTGTCAACGTGGTGGAGTCGCGGAAGAAGCACTGGGAAGCGCCAGAGTCGAGGGTGAAGGAGAGCGCGGTAGTGGCGGCAAGAGGCGAAGTAGCGACGGAAGCACCAAGGCTAAACAAAGCAGGGGATCCTACGCCTGACGCAGAAGGGGAGTCTAAGGAAGGCACAGCTTCACTAGGCAACAAGGGGTAATAAGACGGAAGCACACTAGAGTCATCAGCATACATCACATGTAGAGCAGCAACAATCTCATCCATGTCCAGATAAAAAGTCTGAACCCTACGACTAAGCAAGCTGTGCCAGTTTGGGAGCTCGGGCGACGGGCCGAAACGCTGACGAAACAGGTCGTCCAGGCGACGGAAACAGCGGACGGAGGTATGACCGATCTTACCGCAAACGAAGCCACGGCGAGGACCGGTCTGAAGCAGGTACTGACAGCGCGCGGCACCCGAACCACCACTCGGCAGCCCACCACGCTCACCACCACCACGTCCAGCGCTGCCACCAGCGCCGGGCCACCCAGGCGGAAGACGACTCGTCCGCCTCTGCTGCAGTTGCAACTGCTGCGGCTGCGGCGACGGCTGCAGCTGCGGCGGCTGCGGCTGCTGTGGCTGGCGCGGGTCCGGCTGCAACACCGGCGACTGCTGAGACGGCTGCTCGGCTGCACCTGTCAGGGTCCCCGCGTCGGCACCACCACTAGGTGACCCAACTCCAGCACCACCTACACCCGCACCCCCACCCCCGTCGCCACGTCCAGCCTTGGGGCGGCGACCCTTCCCCGGACGAACCTGTGCGGCAGCGGCAGTCTCAGCCACAGCAACAGAATCGTCGGAGAAGGTGCACTGAGCGGGGGCACAACCCTAAAAGATAGGGACTGGCCCAGTACCACTGGTCTGAGCGATAGACCGGTGGCGGGCCTCTATAGCGGACAGGGTGTCAACAAAGTCAGTGAGGGTAAGGTCTGCGGGGTGGACGCTAAGAAAGCGGTCACGGGCAGTGGCAAGACGGTCAGGGAGGCGGGTGGCTAGCAGGTAGAGAGTAGAGGTGAGGGGTGGCTGGTGGGCTAGAAGCTGTGTGGGGGTGCAGGCAGCATGCCAGGTCTGGTCTATGGTGCGCAGGTGAGCTGCCAGGTCGGCGACAGTGGGGAAAGAGCATGGGGAGGATCAGACGACCGACCGAGGCAGCAGGCGAGGTGGAATAGCGCTGGACAACAGCATCTAGGAAAGCCTGGGCAGTGGTGATAGACCTGAAGCGAGGTCGCTCGGACAGAGGGAGGGCATTGCTAATAGCAAGCTGTGCAACAGCGTCACGGGACAGCCAGACAGAGCGAGCAAGGGCAGCGGCTGCAGCGGACTCACGCTCAGCGGACGAGGGGTCAGGAGACAGTGCAGCGGGGGGGTCACGGCAGGGGAGGGTACCATCAAGATGGACAGACAGCGAGTGGCCATCCTGCCGCTGACCAGTGAGATGGCGACGGAGGTCAGCAAGCCACGCATCAAACTCAATCGGCTGGCCCTCAACGTCAAAGCAAAGCACCGCCGCCATGAGTGACAATAGAGGGCAGTGTAGAGTAGGACAGTGCGGTGCAGTGCTGTGCAGTGCGGTGCAGAGCTGTGTAGTGCGGTGCAGTGCGGTGCAGTGTGGTGCAGTGTAGTGCGGTACAGTGCGGTACAGTGCGGTGCAGTGCGGTGTAGTGCGGTACAAAGCGGTGCAGTGCGGTACAGTGCGATGCAATGCGGTGCAGTGCAGTACAAAGTGGTGCAGTGCGGTGCAAAGCGATGCAGTACGGTACCGGGGGGGGGGGGGGGGTTCGGGGGGCGGTGCTGATCGGGAAGAAACGGGCCGAACCCGAGGCAGCGACGGGCCGGCGACGGCGCCAATGCAGGGGCCGGCCGGCGGGCGGCAAGTAGACACGGCCGCGACGGCAGCAAGGGGCAGCCGCGACGGCGGCCAGGGACAGACACGACGACGGCCAGGAACAGCCGCGACGGCGGCGAGGGGCGGCCGCGACGGCAGGAGCGACCGTGAGGCGGCTGGAGACGGCAACGGCGGCGGCTAGGGGCGGCCGCGACGGCGAGGGGCGGCCGGGACGACTAGGGACGGCCGAGGGACGGCGGGAAGCGGCCGCGACGGCGGCTAGAAGCAGCCGCGACGGCTAGGGGCAGGCTCAAACGGCCAGGGGGCCTGCAAGGAGCGGGCGCGAAATGGCCAGGGCGCCAGCTAGGAGGGGCTCGACGGCCAGGGGGCCGGCTAGGGACGGGCGCGAACGGCCAGGGGGCCGGCTAGGGACGGGCGCGAACGGCCAGGGGGCCGGCTAGGGGCGAGCGCGACGGTCAGGGGGGCCGGCTAGGAGCGATCGCGACGGGCAGGGGGCCGGCTAGGAGCGGGCGCGACGGCCAGGGGGCCAGCTAGAGACGGGCGCGACGGCTAGGGGGCCGGCTAAGGGCGAGCGCGACAGCCAGGGGTCCAGCTAGGGGCGGGCGCGAACGGTCAGGGGTCGGCTAGGGACGGGCGCGACGGTCAGGGGGTCGGCTAGGAGCGATCGCGACGGTCAGGGGGCCGGCTAGGAGCAGGCGCGACGGCCAAGGGGGCAGCTAGAGACGGGCGCGACGGCCAGGGGGCCGGCTAGGGACGAGCGCGACGGCCAGGGGGCCAGCTAGGGACATAGGGGCGGAAGCGTGAACGGGCTAGGGGGGGATCTAACCTACTATGATACCATATCAGAAAGAAAAGGATTGGACTAGAATGTGTGTGTACAATGATATATAGACTAGGGTGTTGTACCTTCTAAGGCACAATCCATTATAGTCTACAATAACGACCTAAGTTACATTTGACACAGGTTTGCTTCTCGAGTGTCACGGGGGGATCAGAATCAGTGCGACACCTCGCCAGCTGTACGTCAGGCAAGCTCGTCGTTGTACGAGCAAGTGAACACATAGTTCGCCCCGCATTCGATAATTTCCATGCACAACCAAAAAATTCAACTCTTCTTCAATCCAAGCCCATTTTCTTGTTCAAGTTGGGTCCAAGTTGAATGGGGTTTGCTATTTTAGCATGGGGCTTTAAAACAATTCAAACAGTAGCACCACCACATATTACCGCAAGTTTAGGATGTGTTTCAAGATGATTTAGAAGATCATGAGAGAAATATTATCCAGGCATACCATTTACGAATGAATGTGGAAAATACCACTCTATTACAATATGGTGGACAATCTTGCATGTGGGGCTGATTGTTTCACTTTAAAGGCCATTTCCATAAAAATGTGAACCGCACTAACGAGTCACGTCGGGTGACACCCTGCAGCGCGAATAGACCAGAATTGAAATTCGCCTTTCTACCTTGGCCATTGCACCGTGAATTGCGGCGACACCCATAGGCGCTCCGATGGCGTCAGCCCTTGTTCCCAGAATCCACAGCGTCCCATGTTGCACGCGTCACGGCTCACCTCGCGCTTTAGTCACATCGCCACAGTCACGCGGGCATGTTCTCTCAGCGAGCCGCGCACTGGCCGGCAGCACCATCTGCAATCACGGCCGTCTCGTCGCGCGCGTCCACGTCAGCCCTTCCGGCCACCATCAGACCTTGCAGTCCCGCTCCCGGAATTCGCGGTCCGTCATTTGCGGCGAGAGCTGGATAGGTCAGGGAACCGTTGCCAGTGCTGCTACTGCCAGCATATCTAGTAATAATAAGCACATCCGCGGTGTAAACTCTCTCACCAGCACCTCATGCGGCTGGCAAATAAAGCACGGGGCTTCAAACCGTGCAGACCTGCGTTGCCGTGTCGGAGCAGGAGGCTCGGAAATTGCCGAGGCAGCGCCGGACCAGCCCGTCAGGTCCGGCAAGTACGAGGAGTGGAACGCGATGACGGAGCGGCTGACAGCGCTGTCGACTGTAGCGGGGCTGTTTATGATGGTGCCGCAGGTGATGGGGGGGGGTGGGTGGGGGGGGAGGGTTGGGGGGGGGTGTTGGTTAATGGGAAGAAAGGGGGCAGGGCGGCTGACATTGGTGTTGACTGTAGCGGGGCTGTTAATGATGGTGCCGCAGGTGATAAGGGGGTGAAGGGGGGGAGAAAGACAGGGGGGAGGGGTGGGAGGGGAAGGGGAAGGCGGGTTTGGGGAGGGAGGGGTGGGGGCAATCCGTCTGGTGACTGCTCGTGTTGTCGCTGCAGGTGATGGGGGGAGAGAGGAGGTAAGAGGGGGAGGAGGGGATGCGGGGTTGGTGGGGGGGATTCTTCTGGTGGCTTTTCATGATGGTGGCGCAGGTGATGGGGGATACGAGAGAGTGGGAAGGGGTGGCAGGGGCACCTCTCTGGTGGGGACGCCAGTACAGGGCTGACCACCGTCACCGATTTGTCATGGTGCCTGACAGGGGGAAGGGGCGGAGGGGAACAGGGAGGAGGGGGGCATCGTTAGGTGAGTGCTTCTGGTGGCGGCACAGGTGATGGAGGGGAAGGGATGGGGATGGGAGAAGGAGGTTTGAATAATGGCGCTGCTGGGTGGGAGGGGCGGAGGACAGGGAGTTGAGGGGGTGGGTGGGAGAAGGAAAGCGATTGGAGGGAGGAATAGGAGGGTGTGGAGGATGGCACGATTCTACAGGTGACTGCTGCGGCTGTCGACTGCCGTCGCTGCTGTTGTCCCTGCTGTCGCTGCTGTCGCTGCTGCCGCTACCGTTACCGCTGCCGCTGCCGCTGCCGCTGCCGCTGCCGCCGCCGCTGCCGCTGCTGGCGCCGCTGCCGCCGCTGCCGCCGCCGCCGCCGCTGCTGCTGCTGCTGCTGCTGCTGCACCATGCAAAGCCCGCCCCTGTGACCCAGCCGCCACTCTCCCGCCATCACCATCATCTCCCCGCCATCCTCTTGCCACCCACCTCCTCTACCCTCTCCCCTCGGCATGCTGCCTCTCCGTCCCCTATCCCCTATCCCCTATCCCCTATCCCCTATCCCCTATCCCCTATCCCCTATCCCCGTCAGACCCACCACCCGGCTGCTCTGCTGCAGGCCGCTCAAGGAGCGACTCTGCCCAAGGCGTCGCCACCCTCTCTCCCTTCTCTCCCCTCTCTCCCTTCTCCCCCCTCTCCTCCCCCACAGATTCTCAAGAGCGCGAGTCTGCTGCGCACCAATCAGGGGGTGTTCCCAGCCACCGCTTCACCAGCCTTTTCACAATCCGCCTCCCTCTGCATCTCCTCGTGCCTACCCCTCTCCCCTCTCCTCCATCTCTCCCCGTCCCCCCTCGCCCAGATCTCAACAACACTGCTCTGCTGCGCGCCAACCAGGGGGTGTCGCCGGCCATTGCTTTACCGCCCGCCTTCTTGTGCTTCTCCTTCTTTCCTTCCCTCTCTCTCTCCCCTTCCCCCCTTTCCCCCCTCTCCTCCCCCTCAGATCCTCAAGAACGCGAGTCTGCTGCGCGCCAATCAGGGGGCATCTCTGGCCATCCTCTCATGGCTGGGCTTCGCCACAGGCTTCCTCGGCAACATGCTGCTGCTCTCCTACTTCACTGCCAAGAAAGAGCTCTCTGCATGCCTCGTGCAGGTAACATCTTGTTCAGGTGTTATCTGATCCAGGTGTACAGGCTCTCCTACTTCACTTCAAAGAAAGAATTGTCCGCTTGCCTTTTGTAGGTGATACCTTGTTCAGGTGATACCTTGTCCAGCTGATACCTTGTTCAGGTGTTGTCAGATCCAGGTGATGTCATTCCAGCGCTACAGGCTTCCTCGGCAACAGGCTGCTGCTCTCATACTTCACTGCTAAGAGGGAGCTATCCGCACGCCTGGTACAGGTAATACCTTGCTCAGGTGATATTGCATCTAGGTGTTATCTGACCCAGGTGGTGTTATCTCAGTGCCATAGGCAACATGCTGCTGTTCATATGTCTGTCAAGCATGTGTCAATCATGTGTCAAGCATGTGTCAAGAATGTGTCAAGCATGTGTCAAGCATGTGTCAAGCATGTGTCAAGCGTATGTCTGTGCGTACATCCAAACCTCTGTCCCACACCATGCCCCATGTCCCATGTCCCATCGCCCATACTTCATGCCCCATGTCCCGTGTCCCATCCCCCATACTTCATGCCCCATGTCCCATGTCCCAAGCCCCATGTCCCATGTCCCAAGCCCCATGTCCCATGTCCCAAGCCCCATGTCCCATGTCCCAAGCCCCATGTCCCATGGCCCGAGCCCCATGTCCCATGTCCCAAGCCCCATGTCCCATGGCCCGAGCCCCATGTCCCATGTCCCAAGCCCCATGTCCCATGTCCTAAGCCCCATGTCCCATGTCCCAAGCCCCATGTCCCATGTCCCAAGCCCCATGTCCCATGTCCCAAGCCCCATGTCCCATGTCCCAATCCCCATGTCCCATGTCCCAAGCCCCATGTCCCATGTCCCAAGCCCCATGTCCCATGTCCCAAGCCCCATGTCCCATGGCCCGAGCCCCATGTCCCATGTCCCAAGCCCCATGTCCCATGCCCCATGTCCCAAGCCCCATGTCCCATGACCCATGTCCCAAGCCCCATGTCCCATGCCCCATGTCCCAAGCCCCATGTCCCATGTCCCATGTCCCAAGCCCCATGTCCCATGTCCCATGTCCCATGTCCCAAGCCCCATGTCCCATGTCCCATGTCCCATGTCCCAAGCCCCATGTCCCATGTCCCAAGCCCCATGTCCCATGTCCCAAGCCCCATGTCCCATGTCCCAAGCCCCATGTCCCATGTCCCAAGCCACATGTCCCATGTCCCAAGCCCCATGTCCCATGTCCCAAGCCCCATTTCCCATGTCCCATGTCCCAAGCCCCATGTCCCATGCCCCATGTCCCAAGCCCCATGTCCCATGTCCCATGTCCCAAGCCCCATGTCCCATGTCCCATGTCCCAAGCCCCATGTCCCATGCCCCATGTCCCAAGCCCCATGTCCCATGTCCCATGTCCCAAGCCCCATGTCCCATGTCCCATGTCCCATGTCCCATGTCCCAAGCCCCATGTCCCATGTCCCATGTCCCATGTCCCAAGCCCCATGTCCCATGTCCCAAGCCCCATGTCCCATGTCCCATCTTCTGTCCTCCCAACCAGGCAGTGGGAGTGGCCACAGCGGCTGTTCTGCTGGCCCAAGTCTTCATGGCGGGCTTCATGCCCCTCCACCATTCTCAGCCGTTGCTGCCTTCTTCCTCGTCCCTCGCCAAGTGTGCACTCACTCACTGCCTTCCCACCCACCCATCCCCCTCCCTTCCCTAGCTAGGTAGTGGGAGCGGTCACAACCGCTGCTCTGCTCGCCGTCTTCATGCGGCCATCAGCATTCACAGCCGTTGCTGCCTACCTACTTCCTTGTCTGCTGTGTGGCCAACTGCCTGCGCTTTGTGGGCTGGCTGCTGTCACAGCCATTGCTGTCTGCTTGCTTGTCCCTCTCTCTGTACGTGCGCACAGGTAGTGGGAGCGGGCACAACGGCCATTCTGCTCGGGCAGGTTTTCATGGCGGGCTTCATGCCGCCTCCAGCCTTCACAGCTGTCGCTGCCTACTTCCTCATCGGCTGCACAGTCAACTGCCTGCGCTTTGTGGGCCACCTGCCCCAGTCGCTGTGGGACACGTGGCAGGACCTGATTGGCGTTCTGGGCCTCGCTGTGCTGCCGCAGGTACAGGGGAAGCTGATGAAGCTGCCTGCAATCGGTTGGCCATGCCATCCCTTGCCTCATCGCCCTTCCTCTTCTGTCCTCCTCTCCTACTTCCGCGTTCAATCGATGTGCATCCTCACACCTTTTCCAGTCTCCTCCCCTAATTCTTCTCCTACAACTCCGAAACCACCTCCCCTCCGACCCTTGTTCTCCCCACCTCCCCACCGCCCCATCTCCCCACCTCCCCACCTCCCCACCTCCCAATCTCCCCACCGCCCCATCCTTCCATCACCCCATCCCTCCACTGCCCCATCCCTCCACCGCCCCATCCTTCCACCGCCCCATCCCTCCACCGCCCCATCCTTCCATCGCCCCATCCCTCCACCGCCCCATCCCTCCACTGCCCCATCCCTCCACCGCCCCATCCCTCCACCGCCCCATCCCTCCACTGCCCCATCCCTCCACCGCCCCATCCCTCCACTGCCCCATCCCTCCACCGCCCCTCTCCCCAGCCATTCCCCCTAGTCCCCCTCTCCTCCCCGTCTTCTCCCTCCCCTCCCCCTCCCCCTCTCCCTCCCCCACCCCCCTGCTCCCCTCCAGGTCATCTGGTCCACCTTTTCGTCCATCCCCACGAAGCTTCCAGGAACCATCTCAGCCGTGGCAGGGCTACTGTTCATCGCGGCCATGAGGCGGGGTATGGTGGGGCAGCGGTGGCGGGACAGGTGGCAGCTGCTGAGTGGCTGGACGGCCACGCTGCTCTTCATGGTCATGCCTGTCGCACAGCTGCAGGTGAGCATCAGACAAGCCTTACGAGCACAGTCGAATCGTCCAGCTCTGCACCCCTCACTGCCCTCCCTATCAAAGATCTCACAGTGGCTGGATGGCCTCGCTGCTGTTCGTGGTCATGCCCATTGCCGAGCTGCAGGTGTGATGTTTTTACCGCACTGAACCGCACTGCACTGCACCCCTCAATATGGAGGATTTCTCACTGCACTGCACGGCCACATTGCTATTCATGGTCATGCCCGTGGCCCAGCAGGTGAGAGCCCAGAACTGCAGGTGAGAGCCCATAACTGCAGGCGAGAGCCCATAACTGCAGGCGAGAGCCCATAACTGCAGGCGAGAGCCCATAACTGCAGGCGAGAGCCCATAACTGCAGGCGAGAGCCCATAACTGCAGGTGAGAGCCCATAACTGCAGGCGAGAGCGGCATATCTGCAGGTGAGTGTCACCGCACCCCTCAACATGAAGGATTCTTCAGTGGCTGGATGGCTGCCCTGCTCCTCATGGCCATGCCCGTGGCTCAGCTGCAGGTGGGCCCTTTTTACCGCACCGCACCGCGTTGCATCACTGATGCTTGCGCTGAGGTTGTAGCATGATAAATATTCCCCGGAATGCCACAACTCCCGTTACTTCACTGCCTGGCTCCCCCCTATCGCCCTTCGCTCCTCTCGAGCTGCTCCTCTCAAGCTGCTCCTCTCAAGCTGCTCCTCTCAAGCTGCTCCTCCTCCGCCTCTCCCCCGTCTTCTCTCGGGCCTGGTCGTGTCTCCTCTTCCCCTCGCCCCTTCTCATCTTCTCTCCTCTCCCCGTCGTCCCTTCTCTCCACATCTTTCTTCTCTCTCTGTGCTCCTCCCTCTCCCCACCTCCCCCCCCCACCATCACCATCTGGTGTCTTTCATCCGCCCTGACCAGTGAGGGCCTCTCATCCCTCTCCTCGTCGCTTTGTCCACCCCTCCATCGTTCCACCCCCCCCCTCCCCACCTATCCTCCCATCTCTCCCCATCTCCCGTCCCCACGCCCCCCCTCCCGCCGCCAGGTGTGTTTCGCGCGCCCTGACCAGCTGGCAGCCATGTCGTCGCTCTCCTCCCTCCTCGGCATCGTTGGCAACGGCCTCATGGTGCCCCGCGCGCTCTTTACCAGGGACTTCATATGGTGGGCTTCTGTTAGGTGCCCTACTTGCTCTAGTCTTAACAGCATATGATGGGCTCTCCTTATTCTTCTGTTCCTTGCTTTCACTCCCTATTTTCGGACGTTTGCTCTCTTTGGCTGGCTGCGAGTGATCGGACGTCGGTGCCGTTTTTTCCAACAGTTCTTGATTCCTCTCTGCCAAGCTACTGTCTGCTGTTCCCTCTCAGCCAGGCCATCTCCAGCTGGTCACTACCCTGGCCTTGTCTGCGTGGGTGTCAGCTTCCTGGGCTGCTCGTGGGGCAGCATTCACATGGATTGGGATGTGCTGCCTTGACTCCCCCCACACAACCCTTACACGTTTTCCCTCGCGCTTCATCCTTTCCAATCCTATCCCCTTCGTGCTTGAGTCAGGTTCCTGGGCTGTTCCTGGGGCTGCATTCTCATGGGGTGGGGAGTGCTACTGGCCATGTTCATTCACGGCTTCTACCCGCCAACCCTCTTCCTCGCTGTCTCCGTTGCTCTCGTCGGTTATCTTGCTGTTGTATTCAAGTTCGATGCTGATGCCCATGCCTGCACGCCTGTGCTTGGTTCTATCTCTGGATTGCTCAAGGGTGCAGCGTGAGCCTTGGATGGGAAATCATGTGCCCTTATTTTGCAGAATTACCATTATGTTATTGTAATTTACTAAATGGGCATAACTGGAGGCTGTATCCAATAGCTGATAAATTGTTGCTTAGGAGCATGCAGAAAGCGTATGGCAACAGCATACCGGTAGCAAGTTTTCGTAAACGCCCGGATATAAGACCGGTTTTATTGGTCCTAGCAAGCACGGAGCAACTGGAACTAGACCAAGATGTACATAGTGCCGCTGATGATCTTTAGGCGCAAGCGCCTTAGCAAAGATATCAAATGTGTTGGCATCGGAGGCCAAGTGTACTACGCGGGCCTGACGGCGCTGTTGTAACTCGCGCAGGAGGAAGTACCGCAGCTGGATGTGCTTCGCTCTGCCCTTAAGTCGAGCATCCTGCCATAGGAGGATCATGGCCTTGTTGTCAGCGTACAAGACCGAGGCAGAGCTAGGCCAATTACCAAAGTGTGTGAGCAAGAAAGTCAGACAGCGGAGCTCCTGTGCCGCTATGGCACCGGCGTAGATCTCAGCCTCACAGCTAGACTGTGCAACAGACGAGGAGCGGGTGGACCTCCACGAGATAGCGCCTGCACCAAGGCTAAAGCAGTAGCCCTGGGAGGAGCGTCTCAGCGTCGTTCGCCCACGAAGCGTCTGCGTGCCCTGTAAGGACTACTGGTCCGCGTCCTCCTAGCACTAGCCCCATGCCCGATGTACTTGCTAGATAACGCAAAACCCTCTTAGCGGCCGACCAGTGCTGGCGTCGGTGTCTGCCTGTCGCCACAAAGCGAGCTAGGATGCTGAGAGGGTATGCCAGATCTGGATGCGTGCAAGTCATCAGGTACATGAGGCAACCCACCAGCTCTGCGTACGGACCACTAGGCTCTACCAACTTCTCAGGGACTAAAGCGGAGAGCATGTGATCTACTGGCAGAGGTGTGGGCTATGCGGAGGAGAACTGAAGACCGAACATCTGAAGGTCTTGGCGCACCAAGTGTGACTGTGTGAGAGTGATGGTGCGCGATGCCGTGTCGCTGGAGATTTGCAGGCCAAGGTCAGTGCAGGTGTGTCTCCTAAGCAGCTGAGCCTTCACGGAGGCCAGTCCGTCTCTGTCGATAATAGCGAAGACCAGGTCGTCTACGTAGACTAGGATGTAGAACCGAGGCTGGCCTAAGCGAATGAAGAGGACGGGAAGAATGGCCGGTCTGCTAACATAGCACGCAACGTGTCATGCCACTCGCGGGGCGCCTGACGCAGGCCGTAAATCGGGCGCCGGAGGAGCCACTCGGTCCTAGGGGCGAAGGTTCCGGTGAAGCCTGGCGGACGACACAGGTAGACCTGCTCATGCAGACTGCCTTGGAGAAACGCTGTGGAGAAGTCGAGGGAGTGCAGCTCCGAGTCGCGCTGTATTGCTATGTGAAGCAGCGCCCGAAGAGTGGTCATCTTCAGGGTCGGAGCAAAGGTCTGAAAGAAGTCAACACCCTCGCGCTGAATGAAGCCTCTAGCCACGTAGCACGCCTTGAACAGCGGCGGCTCTCTAGGAGGGCGCTTCACCTTGAAGAGCCACCGACCATCGACTACATTCTCCCCAGGTGGGGGAACTGTGTCGACGTAGGTGCCGGTGGATCTCCAAGATGCCATCTCCTGCTCCATGGCAGCTATCCAGTAAGAGGCCCATGGTCCCGAGGTGGCTTCAGCGTAGGTGCGAGGGGTCGGAATGACAAGAGCGTCTGGGTCACCCTCAGGGACTAGCATCATGGAGTAGAGATGAGGAACGGCCTCGGACAGGAAGGCTAGCTCGTACTGCCTGTCCTCTAGGACGTCACTGCGAAGGGAAGGTGCAACCCCGACGGACGGAGGACGGGCAGGGTCAAGGCAACGGGTAGAGGCAAAGTCAGCGACGGCAGCGACAAGCGCCGAGAGACTGGAGACAGGAACAGACGGGTCGGTAACAACGGAGGCGATGACACAAGGAAGAAGAGGAATAGCGGCACGAAGAAAGTCAGACAGAGGAGACGAAGAGACAACAAGGCATGACTGAGGAGGCGACGGGAGGAGAGGAGGACGAGACGCGTGGGATCCGAGCAGCATAGGGTGAGAGCGCTAGATAGGAGAGACAGGACGAGCACGAGAGGCACGATGAGACCACCAGTGTCACAGGATCGAATGGGTCGAGGAATAGTTGCACTATCGATTGATACTAGGCGCTTTTTTACTTCCAATGTACAATAAGTAACCAGGTTTATCATATCCAAGGGGAATAGACCCTTCTAGAAATAGAATCACCATGCGTATAGCCACGCGAGGCGATTAGATCTAAGGGATTACGGTAGGATTACGCTAGATATAGCGCACCAGTACATCCCGAGCCTAGTCGGTAATATAATTATAATAATATGATAAACCAAAAGATAATGGAAAAGTAGGAATATGAACCCAAATGAGATGAGATAAAGACCATATGAATCAAATTAAAAATAAGAATGAGATAAAAGAGAAAGATGGAAATGAGAAAGAAGTGTAACGAGAGGGGGGGGAGGGGTGGGGACGGGTCAGGAGACAAGGGAGGAGACACAGGAGGAGAACGAGGGGGGAAACGAACCACGGACGGGTCCGGCGGAGTAAACACTGACTGGCGGGGGAGGCGACAGCAGGGGAGGCGCAGATGGCTGATCAGGGGAGGGAAGACCGAGGAGACGAAGGGCAGACACTGGCGGCGATTGCTGCTCCTCGCCGATACCAGAACCTCCAGCTGCACCACTGCTACCCCCGGGACGCTCCACGACAAAACCCACACAACGAGAACCCTCTCCAGCACCGGTGCCACCCCCAAGACCGTCGGGACAAGCCACAACAGTACCCCCAGGACCAGGACCAGCACCCCCAAAACCAGCACCCCCAGAACAAGAACCCTTTCCAGCATCGGTGCCACCCCCAGGACCCCCGGGACAAGCCATGATAGTATCCCTAGGACCAGCACCCCAAGAACGAGAACCGTCTCCAGCACCAGTGCCACCCCCAGGACTGGCGGGACAAGCCACGACAATACCCCCAGGACTAGCACCCTCCTCAACGCCCGCATCCCCAGAGCTCGCGGACCCCTGCGGTGGTTGCGGCTGCTGTAGCGGCGACTGCAGCTGCTGCTGTAGCTGCGACGGCGGCTGCTGCGGAGGAGGGGACACTGGGGTGGAGAAAGGTGGCGAAATCGAAGCCGCAGGGCTCCGGAGTCGGCCGACTCCTCTATCGGGACAACCGACGGGAGGGGAGTGACGTAAGACACACCAGATGGGCCACGACGAGGAGGGAGAGGGGCAGGGGCTACCGAAGGGGTGGGGACCAGAAACAGGGGCGGGGTAACTGGGAGACCTCAGTGGGGAAAGCGAGTGTAGAAGGAGACACAAACGTCAAAAGTGACGCCACAAGATTGAAAGAAACGGTGAGACGCCGGGTGGTAAAAGTGCCAATCAGATGCGTCTAGGGGGAAGCCAAGGAAGACACAAGAGACAGTGCTGGCAGTGAGCTTGTCCATGCCAGAAGCACGAATGTGAGCGAGGCAACCTCAGAAGTGGAAGGCAGACGCGTCACCAGGGGACCCGGTCTAGAGGAGGGTCGGCAAAACCTGCGGCCGCTAGGAGTGTGGCCACAGGTTAAGCTGGTGAGCGGCGTAGCGAACAGCGAACGACCACATAAAATGGGGTGCACCGGCATGGATCATGGAGGTACGAGCCACCTCCATGACCAAAACGATGCGCTGCTCAGTGATCCCATTACGCTACGGGGAGTCCAATAGGGTGTACAACTGGGTGATGCCCTCCGCACGACAGAACTGGCCAAGTCGACCGTAGGTGAACTCGACGCCACGGTCGGAGTGAAGACGCAACACAGGGAGACTGTAATGGACTCGCGCAGCTACAACCTACGGGATAAGAACGTTTGGCATGTCGGCTTTCCACTCCAAAGGAAACATCATGGTGTAGCGCGTATAGTCGTCGACAAGCATTAGAAAGTAGCACTCTTGACGCGGCCCAGGGACGGGGGTTGGGCCCCAGACATCCAACGCCAGGGTTTGGAGTGGCGTACTGGTAGGGTGAAGCGAGGAGGAGTGAGGAGCATGGCGCAGCCAGCCCTCGACGCAGGGTGTACACGGCGGCACAGGTGAGGGAGGGAGAGCAGGGAGCGACGCAGGGAGACCTAAGACAAGACCGTGCTGGGACATGTGAGGCAGACGCTGGAGTGCGGGGTGACCTAGGCGGTGGTGCCACAGAAGCGGCGGGTGAGTGAGCGAGTGATACGAGCAAGCCGCAGCGAACTGAGTAGGCACCGCCACCAGAGAGGACGCTCCCACTTGGGGGGACACGGTGTCAAGCGTAAACAGGCCAGACACCGGGTCCCAGGGGAACGTGGTAAGAGGGGCACCAGAGGCAGCCTGGGTACAGACTGCGTACCGCTCGTGTCCAGGAAACGTAGTGGTGATGACGAGGTCCTGAAGACGGCCGACACTCACTAGGTTCCTGGAGAACGAGGGGAGGTGCACACCTGTAAGTGAACCTGAAGGAGCCGCCGGACAGGGAAGGGTGGTGGAGCTACGTGCAACTACCGGTTCGGAAGCGGGTTTAGCAAGAGCAACAGCTGCAGGGGCGGCAAGCGGTGCGAGCGCAGCGTGGTCAACACGAAAGAAGCAATGGGACACGCCAGAGTCAAGCATAAAGGAGAGCGTGGCAGTAGCGTCATCCGGCGTAGGAGGTCCTACGCTTGACGCAGGAGGGGAGCCCAGACTACACACAGTGGACACATCTATACTAGGCAACACAAGGTAATAAGGTCCAGTCACACTAGAGTCATCAGCATACATGGCATACATAGCAGAGCGAATCTGATCCATATCCATCTCAAAGACCTGCATACAACGACGTACAGTGGCGGAAAAAATTGTCTGGATGTTTGGCATTTATTAGGTTTTTTAGGCTTTCCGACTATTAGACGTAAAATTTTAATGTTTAATGGTGGTATGCTTTGGGAAACAAGTGTCCAGATGTACTCTTTGTATATCATTTGGCACTAAGTTAGATCGAGTGTACTATTATGGATTTTAGCGCTGTGAACACATCCACTATGTGCCCCTCACAAAGCATACCACCATTATACACTAAAACTTTATGTACAGTGGTCGGAAAGCCTAAAA